ATCAAACCCTTGTTATGATACTACCACAATATATTGTGAAATTATAGTAAACCTGTAATGGAATATATTGATTGCTATGAAAAAAATGTTATAAAAAGTGGAAAGTATTAGCTATGAACAGATGTTTGAAATGTTTTTATATAATTTATTATATCACATCTAAAGTTAAAACTGTATCAAAAATAAAAATATTTGGACTATGTGATATTTACTGGAGCCATACTGGCTGAGTAGGAGTATGTTATAATAAGCCAGGTCCATAGACTTTCTTACTGAAATTCTAACACTGGAACTGATTTATTATGTATAGCATCAAAAATTCTACATTTGGTAAATCTAAGTTGTCTGATAATCCTACGATCCCACCCCCACCCCCCTGTTTTCTGCTTTGTATACCTCTAGTGCATTAGTATTTTTGACAGAGAGAACACTATCGGAATCCAGAATTACACAAGATGTTAAAAAATGCAATTTGCAAAACATTGTTTTTGACTGGTTTAGGTATTAAAGTGTTAGTAAGTCTTACTAAATTCAATATAAACATTTTAATAATGAAATGGTCCATTACTCTGGATACCTTTATCTTATTTTACCAATGATAACTTTATAAGATTAATTAAAGATAACAGACACACAAGTATTTTTATGCAAGTTGATAAGATTACTTTAGAAATGTGAAGAAAACATTGCAAACAAGATAACAAGTGCCTATTTCTATGAATAAACAGAATGGTGATGAAAAAATCTAATTCATAAACATTTAAAATCATATGATAATAAATAATGTGTTAAATTTTTGTATAATTATAATATTATCAATTAAGAGATTTTCATTTAATATGATTTTGGAATGGAAACGTTTCAAATGATTAAGAAAATTGAAAAACCTTTAACCTTTGTTTTTATTATTCTCTTACAGTGTAAAATCAAATTCAGCTGTGGTTTTCTGCCATTATTAAAGCATTAATTTGTGTTCAAGTCTGACTTTCTGAAGAAAAATTGTAGAAGGTTTTATGCAAATATTTAAGTTATTAGAATTTTGATTAATATTAGGATCCAGTGATCTTAGATGTAACAATAATATTCCGCAACCGTATTAATGTCAAGCTCTGAATTTTAATCCAGTAAAAGTTACAGCCTTACTATTAATACATGTATATAAAATTCATCAGTTTGTTATTTTATTAACACTATTTTTTAGCTTACTCTGTAAAACAATAGTATAAGAATAAACCTGAATTACAATTTTAAATATTAAAAGATTTCAACATTATTTTAAAGTTCAACTATTGAATAATATTACATTAATATAGAAAATTCACAGCTTTCACATGTATTTAACTGTGATTTACTTTTATGTTTAAAATTTGTTAAACATATCTTTCATTTAATCTGGACTAGGTATTGCAATGAAAAATTTAATAGTGTGATTATATTGCAATATATACAGACATTATTGCATATTATACAAATATGTACTTTTTAGCTGGTGAATATAGTGTGATATGTACTGAAAAAATTAATATTGACCGAGGTGATTCTTTAGCCAAGGTCAATATTAATTTATCAGTACATATCACACTATATTCACCAGCTAAAAAGTACATATCTGTTTTATAATATAATTTATAAATAGCTTTTATATGGCTTATTAATTCTGCCATTGCCTACAATGGAAATTGACATTTTTAGCTTGTCTTATTTTTCCATTAATTGGCCCTATCTTTTAAATGAGTGCATTAGCAAGCTCATTTTTAGTGTTCTTTAAAATGTTATGACTAATTTGACTCTTATTTAAGAGTCATCCAATTTTATTTTTTTAGAATAATATATACATGGTACAACAAACTTGGCGTGATGTTGCGTCATAGTCTCATATCTTTCAGGAAATTTCCAGAAAATCTATTTTAGATTATATAATAATGTGATTTATCACATACCCGTGCCGCTTTTGCAACTCGGTAAAAATGATATTGCACGTGACATCATTTGCATATAAAAACATAGAGTTAAGACTCCCTATATGTTAGCGTTACACAATAGGCACATAATTGAAAAATTATTCTTTTTTCAATTTAAACACTCTTTATTTTTGGTATGTGATAAATAGAATATAGATTCATTTAAGTTTAATACTAAATTTATTAAACTCGTTGAATAAAATAATATAATCGCAAGAGGCTCGCATAATATAATTTCATTTAACTTGTCCAATGAATTTCATTATTAAACTTACACTCATTCAATATCCTCTATATATTGCGATATTAACAGACATATTGCATATTGTGATATATTACAATATTAACAGACATATTGTAGTAAGTTATGAACTAAGTAAAATGCTTAAAATCAAGGGTAAGATCTACATAAACTTGACTTCATAGTTTTATTCTTATAATTATCTATTTATGAGAGGCCCTTTTATTTTGTTAAAAGTGATACTGTTTCTAAAGGAGTTTCAACAACTTTATGCAATATAATTTGAAGTCAAGCTATATATAAGCAGAGAATACTTCTTATTTTCCTTATTTATAAGGGTTTTATAAAAAGATAAATCAATAATTTTCGAGGTTCTACAGTTGATTGCATTGGTCAATACATATCATTTTTTAGTACATATCATATTCACCAGCTGAAATTTAGTCCCAATCTGTTTTATTATAAAATGTAAAAATTACTTCTATATGCCTTTTTAACCCTTTCGCTGCCAAAGGGTTATTGTTTTATTGTTAACCTATTTGCCAGAGGGGTTTTCTAAGAAATTACTCTATAATTTATTAATATAATTATTATTATTTGTTATAAGTATATATAATAATTATATATGTTTCCAAATCTGTTAATATAATAATAATTATTGTCCATGGTATAATTTTCTTTATATTTATTATTACTTTTATTATTATTATTATTTATTTATTATTATAACTATAATATTAATTGAAACGGCTAAAGCCGTCCATATGGCAAATACACCGAAAATAACAGGTACAGCTTAAGCCGTCTTTATGGCAGTGAAAGGGTTAATTTGGTTCTGAATAACACACAATTCTAGATTTTTAATTGTCCCTAACTTTGGTTAGGGTCTGTCAAAGAATGCACAGGAAAATCTAAATTCTTACTAGTCCTAAATTAATATGCCAAATTACAAAACAATGTTTCTTTTTATCTTTCATTTTAATTCATATATGACACTTATTTGAACAAAACTTCTCTTCAATAACAACAACAAATGGATATGATGTCAAGTCATAACAGCAAAAATTGTAGACTTCTTGCAATAGCTTCAAATGATGTCATACTAATGTATGACAACACTGAATTTAGGCTTTACAATATTCAAATGCTATAAGACTCATCAAAACTACTTCAAGTTCAAAGCAGAGAGGTACAAATGTAATTTAAAAGGAATATTCTATGTTGTAAAATTTAAAAGATAAAGAACTATATACTGTAAATTCATAATATTAACAAGCAATTATCATAGTATTGCAAGCAATCCATAAGTCCCCTACCGGTAAGAGCCCAAGCAACATTCTGAAGGGCCATTCACTTAGGTTCCTATTTTAAGTAAATCTGTTGAAAAAAGTTCTTTAAAAGAGATCACAGGAAACAGTTTTAATGTACAGACAGACGGACTGAAGGACACTCTAAAGTTATTTTTTAAACATCCCTGTTATCAAAATATAACATTTTTAAAATCCTATCATGATTGAAGAAGTTGGAGTAAAAATTACCAATTTCTCAAAAAAAAGTCTAAGTTCAAAAGGGGCATAATTCTGGAAATAGTCTTGCTAGAGTATTGAACACTCACAAATGTTGAGTGACAATAAGAAACATTTATATGAAGTTTGAAGTAGATACATTCAGAAAAAGAAGTTATTAAAAAAAAACAATGTTTTTTTCATGAAAAATTTTAAAGTTCAAGGGAGGTAATTCTGATAAATTTTGTACTAGAGTTGTAAACCTTGCCACATATTGATATGGTTGATGACAAGCAACTTATATTTAAAGTTTGAAGAAAATACCTTAAGAAATAAAGAACTTATAGTGAAAAAACTTAAAAACTAGAATAAGAAATCTTGAAATTCAGTCTATTTGTTGCCATAGCAACCAGAATTTTCAACATAGGAAGATAAGAAAAGGATGTGCATAATTTCCATACTGCCATCTACCCATATGTCAAGTTTCATAAACATATTTTCAGTACTTTTTGTGTTATCACTGGATCCAGGTTATGTGTAAATTTGCCATATTTTCAGTCTATTTGTTGCCATAGCAACCAGAATTTTCAACATAGGAAAGAAAAGAAAAAGACGTGCATAATCTCCATACTGCCATCTATCCATATATCAAGTTTCATAAAAATATTTTCAGTACTTTTTGTGTTATCGCGGGATCCAGTTTATGTGTAAAATTTGTCATATTTTCAGTCTATTTGTTGCCATAGCAACCAGAATTTTCAACATAGGAAGAAAAAAAAAAGACGTGCATAATCTCCATACTGCCATCTATCCATATATCAAGTTTCATTAAAATATTTTCAGTACTTTTTGCGTTATCGCGGGATCCAGTTTTGTGGACGGACTGACGGACGGACGGACGGACGGACTGACGGACAGACGGACGGAGGGTAAACCTAAAGTCCCCTCCGGTAAACCGGTAGGGGACTAATTAGTGCAACACTAAGCTAAGTCATGTTAGACTAGTTTTGCACTGGTGATTTTTTTGTGGGTTGAAAAAAAAATTGGTGCAAAACTCATACTAACTTGACTTAACCCAGTTTTGCAGTAACTAATTTGATCAGTTTGACTTAGCATGTTTACTTAAAATTTAAATATAATTACTAATACAGGGAATATGTTCAAAATATTTATAGGGATAAAGGGATGTTTGATTAGCTTTCAGAATTTATCAAAAAGTCCTTTTGGGTGAAATATGGACGTAGCTGAGTTTTGCGCTGAGCCATCGTTTTGTCTTTTTTTTTTTGTTTACAGGTGGACAATTTTTTATTTCTATTGATCAAGTTCAGTATGTGGTGAGTAAGTTTGGTGAGCAACCCCTGTGAAATCTGTACAAGATGTCTGCGGCAAGCATGGCAGAGAACAGGGACGATGATGAACTCAGCATACCGAGGGCGTCACTTAACAAAATGATAAAGGAGATTATACCTAATGTGAGAGTGGCCAACGATGCCCGAGAACTGATACTAAACTGTTGTACAGAGTTTATACACCTTGTGTCAACAGAAGCCAATGAAATCTGCAATAAACAGTTCAAGAAAACTATCTCTCCTGAACATATACTAGCTGGTAACTAACTTACAGTCTTTTATATGCTTATGGGTCAAAACATGTTTATTATCATGTTTATTATCAGGGCTTTTTCGTGTTCTGTAGAAGGGGTGGTTTAGGGAAGGCTTCCCTAAAGAATTGATTTTTTAAATCATGCAGTTTTCTCCAAAAATTGAATTTACATAACATTTTTCTGCCCCTTTTGCAATTACCGTATACCATATAATTTTCCCCAAAAATTAAGGGCAGGGCTGCTTCCCCAACCTGCGGGAAAAAAGCTCTGATTATTATTTATAAAAGATATGAAAATTTTTTAAAGGCTGCATGCCTCCACATTAGCCAAAATAGTTCAAGAAATCAACCTTGAGAAAAATGTAATTAGATTTTAAGAATAATTTAGATATGCTATACAATATATGCAATTAATGACTGATATGCAGTATTTATCAACATATTTCTGTGTGACTGACACAGAAAGGGCTATTTTGCATATTCTGATCTAATTATGGTATTTTTCATAGATCTTAAGTGTTAATAGTATCCAAAGTGATTTATTTTCTATTGTTTTTATCATTATTTTAAAGTCTTAGGGCAACCGCCTCCGTGGTTGAGGGGTTAGAGTCAATGACTTCTAATCCAGTTACCTCTTTGGCGGGGGTTCGATCCCCAGGAGATGCTTTGGTAGTTTAGCGCGGAGGAAGGTAGTCTAGTACTGGTGTAACTCTCCAGGAATGATGGTTAGGAAACTACTCGCCTATATGACTGAAATACTTTTGGGAAAAGGCATAAAATGAAACAAACAAACAAACAAAGAGTTAGAAAATGTGTCCATTGTTGGCCAATCCACTTTAATTTCAGCATTAGACACTCTAGGATTCGGAGCATACAAGGAAGATGCTACAGAAGTTTTAAAAGAAGCAAAAGCCGTTGCTGCAAAGAAAAGGCGGGGCAGTTCTAGACTGGAAAATCTTGGTATACCCGAGGAGGAGTTACTCAGGCAACAACAGGAATTGTTTGCACGGGTTGGTTTACATATTTAAGTCATTTGCTCTAATTAAATTAATATAAAATATAGGAGGGGCATATTTTAATTAGTGGCAACGGCAGCACATTTTTATGAATAAGTCATACCTGTGAAAAATGATTACTTATAAGAGTCCTTCAAAATATTCAACATCGACCTCCACACACTTTTCCAGCCTCAGAATCCAGTCCAACAAAGGCATTTTGAACTGTTTTTTGGGTAAACTGTTTATACACTGGTAGAGAGCGCTTCCAACTGCACTACAGGTTTCGAACATTGCCGGGAAGGCAAGATTTGTTGTACGAATTTAACCAAAAGTCACAAGGAGAGGTCAGGACTATAAGCAATGTAAGTGAGTTGTAGCAAAAACTCAATTATCTGTTCCTCTCAATAAGCTTGTACCAAGGCTGACCATTGTGCAGGTGCATTATCATTGAGTAATGTGTATCCCAGACCTTGGGTTCTTTGTCTTGTAATGACTAACTACAGCAGTGAGAACATGATCGAGGCACAGTGACATTGGCCACTATTCCATCACTGTCAAAAAAAAGAGCATGCATAACTTTTTTTAACGCTCCTGCTTCATCTAGCAACAAGTGGGCAATCACTGTTTTTACCCTACCTATATTTTGTTCCTGCTCAAAAAGATAAAGCCATGTTTCATTCCCTGTGACAGTTTCTCTCAGGGCATCCAGAGTCTCGATCTTTGAACCTAGTCAATAAGTCCGAGGCTTTTTCAACCTGCTCTCTTTTCTGGTCAGAAGTTAACAAATGTGGGATCCCAGGGGCACACACATTCCATAACTTTAACTTTTCTTTCAAGATGGAAAACACATAGCACTTAAAGGCCCGATATGCCACTTATCTCGTCCACAGTATATCTAGCATCTTCATCAACTATGTTTTTCTTTTTCAGAGGTAGTGAAAATTGGCTTCTAGTGCAGGGATCATCCTTAACATTAGTTTTACATTACATAAACATTGTTGCCCACCTGGCAATTGTACAATATGGAAGGGCATTTTCTCCATAAACTAACTCTAGATCCGTTTTTATTTCTGATAATTATGCATTTATCCAATAACCCCTGAATTTTGCTATAGCATGAATAAGTTCTTTGCTCCTCTCTCAAAGCACAATGCATCTTAGCCATGTTCAAAACAAGTATACAAAACCACATGTAATTTAAATCTGACACCTGCTCAAATCTTTGTGCATGTGCACATCTTGCGAAAATATGTTGGTTAGAAAAATCAAGTCTTTCCGACAGTATATTATACATGTACTTTCACATGCAAATCATGGTTAAATTTAGTTGTTGTCACTTATTAAAATATGCCCCTCTGACATTTAATGATAGTCATTCTTGGCTCATTTAGCCTTATTTCTCAAAAACAACTTACGTGTTTTTAATCCATTATTTACATGTTACTCAACACATGTTTGACATTTCTAAAAAAAAAAAAATTTAAATGAATATTTGAGGCATTATGTGCCTTTAAAGTAATGAGAAATTTCTCTGTACACTTCAGGCAAGACAAGAGCAGGCTCAGTTAGAGCAACAACAGTGGCAGCAGATGCAACAAGCACTACAACAACAACAGCAACAACAACAACAACAAAGCGCCAATAATGGAGAGGACGATGATGATGATTATTCATAATTCATAAAATATCGCTTTGTGGGACATGAAATAATGTTTTGTGTGACATAAAATAATGACTTGTGTGACATGCAATATTACTTTGTGTGACATGAAATAATGACTTGTGTGACATGAAGTAATGATTTGTGTAATGGACATAAATACTGTTGTTTTAGTGAGCATGTTTTGTGATGATGTTTTCAAATAAATAATAAATGCAAAAAAAAGGAACAATAACCTTTTAATTTCATTAGCTCAGCAATGCGTACCAGTGCTACAAGGTTACCTTTTGTGACAGCATGATGTGACTGATGTTCATCACCTTTTATGGATCATAATCCACGATTTATCATGCCCTCCCTCCCCCCCCCATAGAAGTGGGGGTATATTGCTTTGCATTTGTCTGTCAGTCCGTAGACCAAATGGTTTCCAATCAATAACTAAAGAACGCTAAGGCCTAGGAATTTTAAACTTGGTATGTACATTGGTCATGAGCAGTAAATGACCCCTGTAGATTTTGAGGTCAAGGGGTAAAAGGTCAAGGTCACATTTACCTTGTAGGTAAAAACGGTTTTAGATCAATAATTCAACAGCCCATGTGCTCTGGAACTTAAAGTCCTAGAGCTTACATGTAGACAGTTTACACTCAGTATTGCCTACAAGGCCTAGAAGACCTCTACAAAAGTTTGTATAAAATTATGCCCCTAGGGACTGACCATTGTCCCACCATGGACTTCTTAAAAATAGAGCTTTGATTTCTGGCTAAAAAAAGTGGCGTGGTCTTCTACAAGTGATATTATCAAGCCCCAGGATTATAATTTGACCCCATCCTGGTGATTTTGTTCATAAAGACTTTATTTAAAGCACATCTAAATCTTCCTCTTAGAACACAATGCTTACGGCCTAGATATTTAGCTTTGATCATTTCATATTTAATTGCTACAAAAAATATACAAATTATACACTGTTTGGGTCACTTAATATTTACTCAACTAAAAATCCCTTAGTGTAGGTAGTTTTCATACCTCTACAAAACAGATCAGTGTATATTAATTATGGTCCATCCCAAGTCATTCAACTAGTCATCAACTAGTATTAGAAATAGATTTAAAAATCCTCTCTCCAGAAACTACATTACTCGAAGCTAAAGATATTTGGCATGTACCGTATATGTGGTTTTTTTCTGCGGTGACTTTATTTGGTGACTTTATTTCTGCGTTTCCTGCGGTCAGTTTCAGCACCGCAGAAATAAAAACAGCAGAATATTTCTCCATATTTTTTAATCTGGTACTAGTTGTGTACTGCATTATGATCTGTTTCGTCTACAGTAATAACGACTAACGGATTAGAACGGTTAACAGATTTTCAAGTTGAATGAAACTGCTGTCTGCTATGTATGTATTCTGTGTTTATAAGGATGTACTTATTGTTAATTATGCTAACTTAAGAATAAAGATATTTAAACAGCATATACTGTATAGTGTTTGCCGATATGCTAAAGATTTGTTTATCACTAAATCATACAAACTATTTCAACCCTTATACTGCTAAATAATCGTCATATACTTTTAATTGTCATTCTGATTTACGGTATTAAAACAGAACAGAAACATATCGTTCATTAGATTTTAGATTTAAACATACACATGTAGTTTATTATCTATACATGCATAACATTGAATTTAAAGGTCATGTCAATTAAATAATAAAATTAATATGAATATAAAATATTATTTACGTAAATGAAGGTATGTGTTGACAAACAAATTAACACCTTAAACAGTCGGCAATAAATAAAGAGTTTATGATAAGTCATTTTGTCGAAGTATATTTTCTCTCGAATTTTAAGTGCACATTTTATGAACATCACCAAAATTAAAATTGAGCCGCGTCACGACAAAACCAACATAATGGGTTAGCGATCAGCATGGATCTAGACCAGCCTGCGCATCCCCGCAGTCTGATCAGGATCCATGCTGTTCGCTATCGGTTTCTCTACTTGTTATAGAGTTTGTAAGCAAACAGCATGGATCCTGATCAGACTGCGCGGGATGCTGGTCGCAAACCCATTATGTTGGTTCTGTCGTGACACAGCTCAATTAAAGATACAACCAAGGTATAATATTCACACGTCATTTCACGCTGATCAAAAGATTATAATATAACATTCTATTGTTGTGCAATTATATTTGTTTGCAAACAGTTTTGTGGTGACGACGATAAACAAATGTGAATGTGTACATGCAAATAAAATAGAGTAATGTGACTTAGACTTTGATAAGAAGAGTCGCAGAATTTTAATCACGTTTTGTCCAAAGAATAGTCGCAGAATTTTAATCACGTTTTGTCCAAAGAATGTGCCGCAGAAATAAAGTCCGCAGAAATAAAAACATGCCAAAATTTGGAAAAACCGCAGAATTTTGGAGCCCGCAGAAAAAAACAACTTATACGGTATTATTAACCTATGGTTGTGTACATTATTTGTATAAACCTGGCTCCCAGGGTCAACTCGAGGTCATTACGTTTACAAAGACTTTCATAGGAAAACATGTTTTAAATCTTCCTTTCTAATATTTCTAGAGCAAACATATGACATTTAGCATTGCCAGAGGGCCTGTAAAACAAGCTGTATAGGTTAT